TGCTGTCCAGCAACCTCAAATCTGTAGGGGAGGGGGGGCGGACACGACTCGTGGCAGTATTTTGAATTTGAATGCATTAACCGTTTTGGCCACATTCTTACATACAGCGCCTTTAATCGTTTAATTTAAAGCCTTAATAAAATGTAAACAGGTGAGTTATATATAAATTCATCCTCTGTACAGTTGTCATGAATGTTGAAATTAGCTACAGAGACCAAACTGTTTTTTGCACCAGGCTGTAAACATGTTTATTTCTGCTGTAAAGTTTTAACATGGAGGTCTGTGGGGACTGACTCGCTGTTGGAGCCAGCCTCAAGTGGACATTAGAGGAACTGCAGTTTTTGGATTCATTTTTCAGCCTTTGAGATTGCTACTTGTTATAAACACAAGTAAATAATCAAAAAATAAACAATTTAACTTCATAGGCTGCTACTTACTGGCGGTACAAGAACAAATATCAAGAAAAAATGACCAAATCTACAAAATCTACAAGTCTACAAACTGTTACAACACTGTTTTTAAAACGCTTTCAATGGGCGCAATATTTCCACAGCAACGCCGTCGGGTCTGGACAGTGGTACTAGCAGATTGGCTGGATGACCTGCTCCCACCGGACCCGGGTGGTGCACAGGGCAGGAAACCGAAGAGCAGCAAAATGAACCTTTAGACTGACACGTTTAACTGGTCAAAAATATAACACACACAGACACACACACACACACACACACACACACACACACACACACACACACACGACCAAATGCATGATCCTCACAGTTTAAGCCTAGTGGACACATTTTTTTTACTCGCTCAGTCAGCCGTTGCAGTCATTAGTTTGTCTCTGTAGTTATATGGACTATTAACTTTTATTTAGTGTCCACAGTGCTTACAGAAAGACACTGTTGGGATTTAAAGTGTTGTTTCCTGCAACACACTAACAGGCCTCTGACATGACGGACAAAGGAGCAGCAGAGCGAGAGTAGAAGAAGGGGGGTGTAATGTAAGAGGAATGTAAATGTAAACGTATGGACAGTGAAAAAGTCACAGCCAGGAGAGTAAAACATGAGAAAAGACAAGACGTTGACAGACAAATTCCTTTGAGGCCCCTACACTGCTGAAGACTGCACCCTAAAAATATTTCTTTAACATGATGGAGGTGACATCTGCCCGAGTATTCAGCATGCTCAGAGAGCTCGGTGATAAGTACTTCCCTCTGACGGTAATAAGCACGCTCAGAGTAGAACAAGAGGAAATGAGTGGATTTAGGGCTGCTCAGGACTCGGTAAACAACATTTCATAATGACGAGTCAACAAGGATAAACACACCTCTCCTCAGGCGACACACCAGCCTCAAGATCTAACCTTGAATCCTTTGAGCTCTTCAAAACCTTAAAAATTCTTTTACGGCAAACGTCTTTCGGCTTTTTTTGACAAGATTTTTGAGCTAATTTCACTGATCTGATGTAAAAACTACATTATAACAAAACTGATGGGAATATTTTCTACGACCGTCACACATTACAGTCAGCTTCGTAAAATACTGCATCAGCTTTTACTGATTGTTCAGTTTAAAGGGGCATTTACTGACAAGGGAGGTGGTTTCCTTTCAACATTGGGAGGTTGGGAGGTTTTTGCTTAAATTAAATGCCACTAGTAAAAAAAAATGCTTGCTGCACCTTTTTGTTGTTGCCAGGCAACCACCCCATCACCTCCTTACCCTAACCTTTCCATGTAATCAATCTACCATTTATTTATCCTCCAGTAATCAGTATTTAGTTCCTGACATGTTGAGGCAGAGGGTACTGTCTGTAGCTCTGGTTGAGGGTGTGAGGCTGTCAGCAGATAAACAGAGATCTGTGTGGGTACATGAGACCCTAAAAAAGAGGGTGGATCATGGGGAGTACCACCAGTTTTGAATTTGTTTTTGGTTAAGTGTCTGAAATAAGATCTGTGGTTAACACAAGTTGATGAGACTTTTACATTTTGTTCTACCACATAAAATACATCAGTAAATACCCCACTCATGAACCCTGAAGCTTCTATGTGTCTTTAAAAAAGACTGTTGCTAACAAGCGGTTAAATGAGGCTTCAGAACGTCTTCATGCCGAACACAGCTTTACAGCCTCGTTGTGGTGGCGACGTTAAGTCATGCAACCGTACTGTAGTTCTGTTTATAGCTGAACGTTAGCTTTTTACTTCTGGCAAATACATTTAGGCTTCGGTAGTCATAACAGTGATGATCATTTGTGAAGATTATTTTTATTGAACAAAACACACAAGTGTCATTGTTTGCCACAGAGTTTATTTTCTGCCAAAATTCCAGAATCGAATTGAAAAATCTTGTTGGCTTCTTGACCAGGAAACCAGGGTGACGCCAACTCCTGCTTTGAACTAAAGTAAAACGTCATCCCTGCAGCACTCCATTGTGCCTTTTCAGCATCAGCTTGCGGTCTAAATATCTTTAATTTTGTCACAATAAAAGTCCTCTACTACTTTAATGTTTTTATTGGAGGGGACAAATGCTCAAGTTCTAAATATAAAAAAGGGACGAGTCCTCTGAGTCCACAGTGAAATCTACACTTGAGCTCTGATGGGACCCAAAAAGTCAGACCTGACTCTACATGAACCTGCACAGTTTCTGTACAAGCCCAACCCAAGCCTGAACCACAACAGCAGCAGGCCCAATTCAAAACTCAAATTTCTAGCGTAAAAAATAAAATAAAAAAAAAGTATATATCAAAACAGTGGTTCCCAACTGGTGCAGCCACAAGGTCCAGATTTCTCCTTAGTCACTGGTTCGACATCCATACAGTTAAATACATTCAGCATCATACTTACATTTAGTCATGTCGCAGAGCTTGTCTGCTTTCTCTGCTAAGTAGCTGTCTGTTAGTCGCTCACTCTACAGCAGGAAACAGAACTTCAGAATAAAAGCTTTGTGCCAGAATTTCACTGTACTTATAAAGTGTGTGTGTTTTTTTTTACAAACTTGACACGTTTGCATTACTTGCGGCCCATTCAGAATGGACCCACAACCCACTGTTGGAACACAACCCACCAGTTGGGAACCATTGAATTAAAGTATATTTTTTACATGTTAAATATATATTCTATATATTTATTTTACATATATAAAATATTTCATAAAACATTTATTACAAGCAAAGGGCTGCTGTGTTTCCTCGCACCACCTCTCCTTCTTCCATTCCTTATTTCATTAATATGTCGTATAGGTTCGGCAGAGTGGGCCATGTCTCTCAGTGCAACTAGTGTGCACAGGGTCCATTGCAATGCGACAGGCAGATAACGATCACTGCTCTTTGCTGCATGTTACACTCATCTCTTCTACTGCTGGGGAGGCAGAAGCTAACACTGCCCCAAAGCCACTGAGCAGCCCCTCTTTCTCTCTTTCATTCATTTTCCGTCCCTGACTCACAAGCGCTCTCTCTCAATCTCCGTCGGCTGCTGTGCCACTTCCCATCTTTGATCCTTTTCCCCCATTGATTCTGTCCATTATAACTCCTGCAATTTACACACACAAAAGAAAACACCAGTAAACTGGCGAGGACCTGTTTCAAGCCTGGGGTAACAATAAGAAATTTCAGCCTGACCTGAAGCTGGTGGGTCTGGCTGGGCCATATCAGCCTCAGGCAGAGAGTTGGTGCTCATATCTACACCTTTACTTATGAAGACTGCAGATGTAAAGGAGTTTACAGTGACTGATGAAGTGCCTGCTGACTTACGGTTAAACTTTTTAACTCCTGTGACTGGATCGTTTCTGTCAACGGCTACAAAATAATTAAACATCTCCTCCATCACCAGCTGCTTCAGCCCAATCTCACTGCAGCTGCAGAGCTTCCCTCTCCGTCTGTCTCTGCTACAGCCTCTCACCCTCCACATGTTCCCTGAGTGCTGCAGATTTTACACCTGCTTTTCTAAGATGTTAAATGTCAGTCACACTCTTTGGCCTCAGTGCAGCAATAAACCAGGTACCGCTACGATTTCCAGGAAATCCACTCCCTCCTATATTTTGTCCCTCTAGAACAGGGAGTCTTAAAATGCATATTGCATGAGACCAAACATGCAATTTAATTTTTACTGGTGCAAAGCGTCAGCGGTCAACATGTCTGTAAAGGGAGCAAGTACATATCAGTAAATATCCCCACAGAGTGGACGCTGGCAATGCGGCGCTTTGTGTTAAACATGTTGATGGTTAGCAGGTGATGCTCACCAGAATTATCTTCAGTGTTTTAACTTGCTAACATTTGCTATTTAATGCAAAAAACGGAGGCTGAATTAAAAACCTGATGGTGGCGCTGCATGAAAAGTCAGAGGATCACGAACGTTTTTACAACTCATCCTGAGAGGAACATAAACAATGAACCACATCGGGGCATCAAGTGCATCATCTGGAAACGAACATCTGCACAAAATTTTGTGCCAATCTAACACGTGGATGTGGAATTATTTCACTGGCTAAGTGATAAATATGACCTGCGAAAAGAAACGTCAGGGGATCATTAAAGAATTCATCCTCAGGGGACCATAAATTATTGTATAACAGCACAGAAGTGGGAGGAACATGGGTGAAAAGGGGCCCAGTGGCTCAACTTTGGCCCCCAGCAGGGAATGCTGATTTTAAATAGTTAGAATGTTCTTTATAGGTACATCCCCTGGTGAACAAACTACCTGCATGACCACCACAAGCAAAGGCAACTACAACGAGGAATGACTTTTAGGTAATAGTGTTGCTTGACCGTCACACTGCAGAAAAGGGCAACAATTCAAACACCGTAAAAACACAATGTTACTTTGCATGTTTTTCTTTCAGCCTCAGTTACTAATACTTTAAAATGAAAAACTAACTCTGCAGCAACTTATACCCTAGCTCTGATTTTCCAGAAGGAGCCTCATCCATCTGGGAACAACCTTGTTATATTTCTATCTATTATATGGACCCTAACTGGAGCAAAAGAGAAACATACTGAAGGTTGTTTTACCTTGATGCAGATGGATCAACATCAGAGTCGTGGTGACGAGCCAAAAGTAAGTGGGTAAGTCCATCCTGCTGCCTCCTCAGTGTCCAGGTGAGAAATCTCCGACTCAGCTTTCGTGTAAAATTCCTCACAGCAGCTCCCTCCTTCCAGAAATGAGATATATGAAACACCTTTCACACACACGCAGGAGGAGGTCCGGCTGAATCAAACACTTGAGCTCACAAAGGTTCCCGGTCAACACACGGAAAAAAGAACACCAAAAAATGTCCACTGGATCCAGGAATCTGCAACAGTTGCCACCCAGGTGCAGAGCTCAAGTAACGCCGGTATCCTGAGGGGCTGGAGGCTGCTGTGGCGTCCAGATGGAGAGAGGATAATGTTAACAGCTGTATGGAGCTGTATCATAACACATGGAGAGAAGTGAACTGCAGGAGTGAAGAGAGCAGGAGTGAAGAGGAGGAGGAGGAGGAGGAGGAGGAGGAGGATACACAGGGGAGGCAGAGCCTGCAGTGAGACACCTCCACAGCTTGAATGTCATTAATCACAGTGTCCTCCGCCCGCCACTGGCCCACGCCCTGCTCTCATGATTGTCTGGTCTCTCACTGTGGTCTCAATCCTTTTGGTTCTGTCTCTCTGCTTTTTCTGCTCTCCGTGTAATCTGAAGTGTCTCCCTGTTGATGCAAAGTCCACCACAAACATACTGTCTGTTGTGTGTGAAGACATCTGAGTAGGAGGAAACTCATGTAGGAGGTTACCCTGCCAGAGCCTGGGCAGGTTATTGGAATTTAAACTTACATCAATGAGTTGTTTCCAAATTAATGTTACCTTTCTACACAACAAATAAAAATTTGCAAATCATACACAAATACATTTGAAAATGCTTAGCGAATATGTTTTCATTACTATAGCGAGGAAATGTTCATTAACTTACCTGATGAGTCATGAACTGTTGATACTGAATAAATCAGTCGGAGTCTCTGGAACTATCCTTAAATGCTTCAAGTCATATCTTCATGACAGGAAGCACTTTGTCTTGATTGGCAACCATAAGTCAGAGCAGATGGCCGTGACATGTGGTGTCCCACAGGGATCCATTTTGGGACCCCTCTTTTTTAATCTCTATATACTTCCATTAGGCAAAATCATACAGAATGATAACGTAGCCTAACATAATTATGCAGATGACACGCAAATATATATATCGCTTTCACCAGGTGATTGTGGACCTGTAGAACGTCTGCGTCACTGTACTGAGCAAATGAATGATTGGCTGCATCAAAATTTTCTCCAACTCAACAGAGATAAGACCAACATCATGGTCTTTGGGCTCTGGAGAGAAAGACAAAGTGTCAGCTCTCACCTCGAATCCCACTCTTTTCACTAGGAGTCACACAGAAACCTTGGTGTTATCCTGGACTCAGGAATCTATAACGTCATCTGCCAACTACCATTCAAAAAACATTGCTAGAGTCATAGGAATAATGTCACCGTGAGACCTTTAAAAACGAGCTGTTCAGCAACTTCAGCTTATTCAGAATGCTGCTGCTCACGACCTGACAAAAACTAGGAAGTATGACCGCATTACTCCAGTTCTAAAATCCTTGCACTGGTCACCTGTCACTCAGAGAACTGATTTCAAAATCAAATCATTCTGTGGCTCAGCGCCCAAATATATTTCTGGTATGCTTGCGACATATGACCCTTCTCGGACCCTGAGGACATCTCGGGCCGGCCTACTGACCGTCCCATGAGTCAGAACAAATCATGGTGACGCAGTGTTTTGATATCATGCTGCAAAACTTGGACAAAGGTATTCTTTACTGGTGAGTTAAGGGAGAATAGCTATCATGTAATTAAAAAAGAAAACATAAAGGAAGGAAAGGGAAATAGAAAGCCTGATGTGCAATGAATGGAGACCTATTATCCTGCTTGAACACGGACGACTAAATTCTTTCAACAATGTGACTCAAGATAATGACAAAATAGATTTTATTGATGTAAAATAATATGCTGATGGTGACATTTTCCACCGGTCCGCTGTGCTCTGAGTCTGGTGTCAGTGACACATGATGCTCTGAGTCACGCATCTGTCTGCCTGCGCTGCAGTGCACGCCAAGGGTTTTAATTTTTAGTGTTAAATCAAAAGTTAAACACTACTTATCAACAACCAGAAGTGTTTTTTCGTTTGTGAATATTTTTATCTTAACTCTAGGGTTGCAAGAAACTACCTTTTCGCCATAATTTTTAAGTTATTAACTTTTTTGGACCTTTTTTTCGCTATTTTTTTTTTATTATATATATATATATATATATTTTTATTATCGATTATTTTTCCATTATTTGATTAATGAGGCAATTTAAACAATATGAATATTAAAACATTTCTTATTAACATTAACATTTATTGCAACATCAGTGTTTCCCCTAACATTATATTAGGTGCGCGCCCCGCTGCTAACCACTGCACCACCATGCAATATCACAATATATCTTACATGTCAGTGCTTCCTGTAATGTTAGTATTTCTTTTCAGTAAAGGGGGCACTGAATTTGATGGATTTGCAGTATGTCAGACCACAAATGAGAAAAGAGTTAAAGGGAAATTTCGGTTTATTTCAACCTGTCTCCTATCGTCCTAAATTTGTTTCAAGTCACTAGTGACATAGAAATAATAGTTAGCATGTTAGCCGTTAGCCTAGATATAGCCGTAGCGTCAGACCTGTTAAAACGTAATTGAACGGGCATCCTTTCAAGTGCAATGTTAGTCCACTAAACAAGCTTTTTCTCCACAAAGACCGCCTCATATTGTTAGGATAAATGTCAGAGAACATATAGAAAACGACATGTAAACGTGTTGTCTTACCTTATCGGTGTGCTGCCATGTTTGTTGTTTACTATTTAGCTAAGGCTGCAACCGGTCCCATTCCTTGCAACAGAGGTATTCCTCTTCTGTGGGCATTGGGGTACAGCATTCACAGGTAAGGTTACACCACCGATCTCCAGAGCTAAAGCCTTCCAGCAGCCATTCCTCCTCTGTCGTCCTCTAACGTTACCTGTTGTGCCTCTCGCTCTCTCCTCTTCCATTCTTCAGTTTCATGAAGCTCTTCATCAGTATTCTGGCACAAATAAATAAGGGTGGCCATCGCCTCTCGATGTGGAAAGCCTATATACTAACATTCCACATTTAGGTGGTCTTCAGAGTTGTCTTACCTTACGGTGTGTTTACCGTTTACCTCTGCTTCCCAAAGCACGGCCGAAATATCGCGAGAACAAGCAGCGATCTCATACCGTACCTGAAATCTCGCGAGAACAAGCCGCAGCAGCTGCAAGGCAGAACTGGACAGTAGCCTGAAAAGTTCATTAATTTATTTTATGAAAAATTTATAGAATAATGGCTGACTTTTTACCAGACTTCAACTCTGTGGAGAAGGAATTTGATTTTGCAAAGTTTTATGGCCGCCCTTATTTATTTGAGCCAGAATACACTGACGAAGAGCTTCATGAAACTGAAGAATGGAGGAGGAGAGAGAGAGAGGCTCAACAGGTAGAGGACGATAGAGGAGGAATGGCTGCTGGAAGGCTTTAGCTCTGGAGCTCGGTGGTGTAACGTTACCTGTGAATGCTGTACCCCAATGCCCACACAAGAGGAATACCTCTGTTGCAAGGAATGGGACCGGTTGCAGCCAAATGGTAAACAACAAACATGGCAGCACACCGGTAAGGTAAGACAACACGTTTACATGTCGTTTTCTATATGTTCTCTGACATTTATCCTAACGATATGAGGCGGTCTTTGTGGAGAAAAAGCTTGTTTAGTGGACTAACTTTGCACTTGAAAGGATGCCCGTTCAATTAAGTTTTAACAGGTCTGACGCTACGGCTGTATCTAGGCTAACGGCTAACATGCTAACTATTATTTCTATGTCACTAGTGACTTGAAACAAATTTAGGACGATAGGAGACGGGCTGAAATAAACTGAAATTTCTCTTTAACAAGCTAGCAATGCATGTGGACCCTCCGCCTCACTCCTCACTACTGGGACCCTACTCCCCCTGGTAGTGGACAGCAGCTTGCAATTCAAATTCAGCTGGTGCAAAATCCTGCCCAGGGGTTCACAGCGGGCTGTTGGCCAGCGTAGCACAGGATTTAATCTGTGTAACTGCATCTTTTTTCAAGAAAATATTCGAGCAAAGTTTAAGAAAAAAAAACTCAGTGGGTTGAAACTTGTGGAACTCAATGACAGAAGCACTTGCAGTGATTCTGACTTTCAGCTTACTTTGGGTATGCCTTGAATAGGTGTTTCGAGTGAAACCAGATGAATATTATAGATATCATATTTTTAGTACAGGCCGTGAACGTTAGGCTGGTGATAACAACTGCTGTGTTGCTGCCTTTTCTGCCACAAAAAGGTGATCTGAGTTATTTTAAATGTTCAAAGTTAAACCTGAACTAATGAGCAATTTGAAAGGATTCAGATTCGACAACTAAATTCGATGCTGGATTTGACTTCGATGAAATGCTAGCGAACATCTTCCAAAGGTGACTCAGTCAGTACATATGTAGAAAAAACAATCTAATAATGTTGCATGTTTGATATTTCAACACCATTTCCTTGGAGCCCAGGATCATCGCTGGTTAAATGCCACCATCTTTACAGTCCAGAGCTGAGCTATAAGAGAATGGACTCTACAGGGAGGGTCTGCTAAAAGTTGACATTTGAAATCTGTGTTCGCTCCTTCAACCCAAACTGGAGACACTGAAAGAGGACACAGAGGTGAATTATAAGTGAATAACTTTTCTGTCCACCATCTATCATTTCAGCCCCAAAGGTGAGCTGCTCTCAGCTTCCCTGATACTTTGGCAGATGATATATGCAGAGTATTTGTTTTGGAGGCAATAGCTGAGGAGTTGCCTGAAAGTCTGTAAGAGAATATTCTGAGTTCATCTGGAACAAACTACCGAACGCTGAGCAGGAAAATGACAGAACCACCAAAGGTGGACTCCTGTTTTTTCCCCCGTCTTTTTATCTTTTTTTGGGCCCAGTTTAGGGGAAGCTGTCTCGCTGCCTCTCTGTCTGTCTAACCAAGGAGAGGCCGATGTGGTAAACCAGATTCATAAAGAGATTAACGAGGACAATCCAAACATCTGGGAGGCAGATACTATGGTGAGCCCTTCGGTTGGGTTTCCCCTAAATTGCTCCACCAGATCTCATGAAATGTTCTGAAATGAGCGTGGTGTCTTGAAATGTAAATAGCAAGGAGGAAGTGAGTTTCACCGCCGTGACAGGAAGAGGCATGCCAGAAACACGCAGTCATTTATGTCAAAACAACGTGGTACCTTCTTCTAACTACCCAGGTTCAGTTCTTGGACAGAATAAGAATGCAGAATAAGTGTTTCTTTTTCTAATTTAATCACAACTGAAAGTTTTCTTT